GAATTCTGACATATATGGTCAGCTCATGATTCTTTTGCACTATTATTTTTTTCTACACTTTATGTTGAGGATGTATATGTGTTGAGAATTCTCCAAACTCTCTAGGTCCATGGAAAAGGAAAAATCTTTCTGAGCTTGGGATTGTAACACAGTGCATTGCTCCAACAAAACTGAATGATCAGTACATCACAAATGTGCTCCTGAAAATCAATGCAAAGGTATGGTTTTTTTTTTACAATAATATAATTTGTGGAAATTGTCTTGTGCTACTATTTGTGTTTTAAGTTTCATGCATTGATTTTGGTCTTCCCTTTTGTCTGCACTTGTGCAGTTGGGTGGAATGAATTCCTTGCTAACAGTTGAGCATTCTCCTTCTATACACTTGGTTTCTAAGTGCCCCACTCTGATTTTGGGAATGGATGTGTCACACGGCTCACCTGGGCGGTCAGATGTGCCTTCTATTGCAGCAGTAACATTTGTCCCCTAAACTGAACATTTCGTAATCATGATCTTTTCATAAATTTTACTCCACACACAATCACCGTGAGAGTTGCTGCTTTATCATGTTCTTTGTATTTGTATGATATACTTGGGAATTTTGCAGGTGGTGAGTTCCAGGAACTGGCCCTCAATTTCTCATTATCGAGCTGCAGTTCGTACTCAATCACAAAGAGCTGTATCAGATAAAGATGATGAGGGCATAATCAGGTTGTCTCCTCTCGAGACTTACATATACTCTGCCACTCTGATTTCTGTGCATCCATTTTGCTGTCATATTATTAAAAGTTACCTCTTTGTTTCACACAATTTTGTAACATATGTGCTTTTTTCAGGGAACTGTTAAAAGACTTTTATGCTTCTTCAAAGGGCAGGAAGCCTGATCAGATAATTATTTTCAGGTTAACTATTACTAATATATTCAATAGAGTACTAAAACGAGCCACATATGAACAAGCGCATTAGTAATACAGCAGATGCATTTTAAATTTCATACATTATTAGATCAATGAGCCACATATAAACAAGTGTATTATGTTTGATCTTTACTTACAAGGTTTAGAATACAATTAGTAAATAAGTATGTGCCTTCTATTGCAGCAGTAACATTTGTCCCCTAAACTGAACATTTCGTAATCATGATCTTTTCATAAATTTTACTCCACACACAATCACCGTGAGAGTTGCTGCTTTATCATGTTCTTTGTATTTGTATGATATACTTGGGAATTTTGCAGGTGGTGAGTTCCAGGAACTGGCCCTCAATTTCTCATTATCGAGCTGCAGTTCGTACTCAATCACCAAGAGTAGAAATGATTGCTTCTCTGTTCAAGCCTGTATCAGATAAAGATGATGAGGGCATAATCAGGTTGTCTCCTCTCGAGACTTACATATACTCTGCCACTCTAGTCAATGTGATATGTTTTTCATCAAGTAGAAGAAGAATTTATAAACTAACAAACTACTGGTTTCAATGATTAACAATGTTGTATCAAATTACTCTAGTTTTGCAAAATGTTGTATCAAAGCACTTTAGTTTTGCAAAGGTTTAGCGTTCATACAAACGATTGTTGATCTTCCTATTACTTGGATTTTCTCTTATTTAGGGATGGCGTGAGTGAATCACAGTTCAACCAAGTCTTGAATGTGGAACTGGATCAGATTATTCAGGTTTTCTTGTGGCCAATCTACATTTTGTTTTCTTCTTGCTTTATCTGTAAGAAAAAATTTCTAACTGTACTTTGTGAGGTGTTTTCTGTTTTGCAGGCGTGCAAATTCCTTGATGAGAGCTGGTCTCCTAAGTTCATGGTTATTGTTGCTCAGAAGAATCATCATACAAAATTTTTCCAGACTAGATCTCCTGAAAATGTGCCACCTGGTTAGTCATTTTACCACCAGTTAAATGTTCAGAATAGAAAAGAAAAACTATGCTTCTGTTTCGAAATCACACTTATCTTTTGATTACTTACACTTAGGGACGATTATCGACAACAAAGTTTGCCATCCCAAGAACAATGATTTCTACTTGTGTGCTCATGCTGGGATGATTGTGAGTATTCTAAACCAAAGCCTATTGCTTTTTTGTTGATAAGTTTCTCCATGTTTTTGAGATGTTATTGCTTATAAAGGAAATGAATAAGCAAAATGGTTGCGTCTATTGTTTTAGACTGTGAAATTCAACCGACTTTGGATTGTTTATGTAGGGGACTACTCGGCCTGCTCATTACCATGTTCTATATGATGAACTTGGCTTTTCAGCCGATAACGTGCAAGAACTTGTTCATTCGCTTTCATATGTGTAAGTATACTCATCTTTCACATGTAGTAAGGAAAATCTGTACAAATACGTCTACCTGGGTAAGAATGGGCTCTGTTTATTTATGCATGATTTTCAAACCTGACGTCGTACTTTGAATTTTGTACAGGTACCAAAGGAGCACTACAGCTGTATCTGTAGGTAAGATCCTGTATTGTAGTCTGATTTGTCTTTCAACTTATGGATCACTTAGAAAAATTTGGGAACCAATAAATTATGATTTATTTTTCTTGCTAGTCACGTCACACCCTCTTTCTTGTAGTGAGCTTGTAGTTGTCTGAACAAAAGGTCAATAAATTGGAAGAAAATTAAACATTAAAAGTTGGTTTTTGAAGTTACGTCTCTTTAGTCTATATTTTTCCTCTTTTGCCCTGTTTCTTTGCATTGTGTTTTTTGGAGATTCTTGAGAGTTTGCCGTTTTCTGTATATTGCAGTTGCTCCAATCTGCTACGCCCATCTTGCTGCAGCCCAGATTTCACAGTTCATCAAGTTTGATGATATGTCTGAGACTTCCTCAAGCCATGCTGGTGGTGTGACTGTTGCTGGTAGTGCGGCCGTGCCTGAGTTACCCAGGCTTGCTCCAAATGTGATCAATTCCATGTACTTTTGTTGAAGATTTGGCTTCAATTTCATATCTGTTTCTAAGAACTAATATTTGGCCTTATGATGGTACGTATATCCATGTCTAAGAATTAATCCTAATCACAATATCTGGTGTGTAAAATGTTGTCAAAATATTTCAGATATGAAAACAAAAATACATATATAGTTTTGATTTGAGTAGGTTTTCTTTAGGGTAAGGGCTAAAATAATAATCATTGCTTTCCATAAAGCCTGAGCACATGGAGAAAAACTTAGTTGCAACAGAGATAGCGCTATCCGTGGCCAATAATGCTATGACATGTGGAAGTGTGTGTCACGTGTTAGGAAAAATCAGTAAATAACTCATATTATAGGATCACTATGTTAATACACAGATTCTAAATTGTAGACAACAATAGATATGAAAATTGTATGAATATGTAAATACAAAGTAAGTAGAGCCCCAAGGCCCAAGGCCCAAGTCTTGATTATTTAAATATTATTATTAATCAAGCAAGCCAACCATCTAAGCCCATCAGCTCACCAATCCTTATTTAATTGGTGTTAAGGTTTCATGCCTATGAAGCATGTGGAACTTTTTGGTTTCTCCAATGTCGGACATTTATGTGTCATAGTGTTATTGGTCGAGAATAGCAAAATAGTGGTATTCCCGTTTCATAAAAGTATTTCTCCTAAGGATGGCATAAAATCCATAAAGCATGTGTGACAAAAGGCGTACAACAAGTATAGTTCTGTTTTGGTTGGTAAAGTAGCATTCTCTTCAATGTATGTTTTGTGGGTGCATTTTTTGGACTTAATGCGATTGGATCAAATGATCAATTGTCATTTACATTTATATAATCTCAAATTATTATTTCAAAATTTTGATGTAGAAGCTTGAAGTATTAGTTGATATCTATATATATATAAAGGCATAAGAGAATGATGAAACATTCAAATTCAAATGTCAAGTAATGAAAATATTAAGAAATTAAATTAGTTATTATATAAGAATAATATAGTAAATTAACAATTTTCATATTTAAAAGATTAAAAAATAAAAAAAAGAACATAAGTCCTGTTTTCATGAGACACAACTTGATCCATGCTCTCTTTCCTAATTATAAAATGAAGAAGAAAAAAAAATCCTCAATCGACACGCACTCCCTTGAGCTACAAGCTCATAACTTTTTGTTGTTGTTGGTCGAAATACAAAGCTTATTATAACTTTAGTAAATAACAAACTAACACGGTTTCTAATTGAGTTTAAGAATGGAATGGTGAAGTAATTATTATGTTAATAACAACTGGGATGTGTTTGAAAATATGATGGGAAATACTAGCTACGTTCCCTTCCACATTTTTCAGGCCATCTCCAGTTACAAGGCTAAATGTAGTCCACGATTAAAAATTTAGCCCTTCAAAATATTAATTTTTTAAAGAATAGTGCAAGGTTAAATTTTTCCATCTCCAACCATGCATGGCTATTTTAGGGCCCTTTATATTTTATTATTTTGAGAAAAATTATGGTACAACACTCATATATTCCACAACTATGTATTTTTTAATTTAATTAAACTACGATTTAGAGACAATATTTTTTAATTTATATAATTTTTTAAACAAAATGAATTTAAAACATTTAAAAAGGTTTTNNAGCTATATTTGGCCTATGACCCGAAATAGCGTTAAGGTTTCGATTTTCAGACTTGCTATAATAAGATTCCAACATCTAATGGTTTTGTTGAATCTCAACCCCATCTAACCTCTCTTGTACTTTTAAATTGTGTGTGGGCCTTCGCAATTGCCTTGCTCGTCATTTAAAAAAAAATTATGAATGAAGCCGATGTGTTTTTAATTTTCGTCTAAGCCATACTTGATGTCACTATTCTATTTTGAGATTTTGTTGCCCTCACAAATTTGACTCTCTTTTTCTACCCAAATGATAAAGTCTGGTCTTTATGGAGAATAAAAGTGATTAAACTGAGATGGGTTGTTGGGTTTTGTGAGAGAAAATAAATTATGTTGTCTAAAGTAAAAATGGAGAAGAAGAGAGGCCATGGGCGTAGAGAATTGTCTGAATCTAAATTGGAGAAAACAAGTGAAGGAAAAAAAAAGAAGGGTATGTTGTTAAGGTTTTAGCCCTTAGAGCATCTCCAATGGAGGAAGCAAATGTTTTCTTTAAAAGTGTCATTTGTTAACCTTTGTGGCACTTTGGTACTAACATTTGCTATAGTGTAAAACTTTGTCCCTCCAATCAGGGGTAGAGATAGAATTATAAGCATCGGTGGACTCAAGAATTTTTCAAGAGAGAGGCAACATTTAAATAGCTAAAAGTATGTGAGAGAAATCCAAGTGCAAGGAGTCCATGAACCCATCTACATTTGTCGACAGGGAAGAGAGAAACTTTGAATAAACAAACGTGATATCTGCATAAAACAAAATTAAATTATAAGTTGAGAAACTAAGAAAGATGCCAAATAAGGGGGATTAAAGCTCATGGATATTTATTAATAAACTGACACGGTTTCTAATTGAGTTTAAGAATGGAATGGTGAAGTAATTATTATGTTAATAACAACTGGGATGTGTTTGAAAATATGATGGGAAATACTAGCTATGTTCCCCTTCCACGTTTTCCAGGTCATCTCCAGTCATAAGGCTAAATGTAGTCTATGGCTAAAAATTTAGCCCCCAAAATATTAATTTTTTAAAGAATAGTGCAGGGCTAAATTTTTCCATCTCTAGCTATGCATGGCTATTTTAGGGCCCTTCATATTTTATTATTTTGAGAAAAATTATGGTACAACACTCACAACTATGTATTGTTTAATTTAATTAAACTACGATTTAGAGATAATATTTTTTAATTTATATAATTTTTTAAACAAAATGAATTTAAAACATTTAAAAAGGTTTTCAATAAAAAAATAATTTTTCAATCAATGGTTCTGACCTCCAACGATCATAAACCAATTATATATATATATATACAGTCCCCTTCTATTGAGGGATCCCTCAAATAATTTTATTTGAGGGACGCCCTTTAGGGTACCCTACAATTTTTTTCTCAATGATCCAAACCATCTATTTTTTAGGTCTTCATTCATAGATCATTCTTACAAAAAATTAGACAAATCGGAAACCGTTTCGATATCCAATTGTGTCCTACAAAATCAACGAACAACGGTGCATCAAGAAAGTACTCAAATTTCAATAACACAATTGAGTGGTCAAATGATATCGGATTCAAGTGATTTTTTGTAGAGATGATCTTTGAATGAGTATCTACAAAATAGACAGTTTGAATTAGTGAAATATAATCCGGAGTATGGCCTACAAGGAGTGTCCCTCAAATAAGCTTATTTGAGGGATCCCTCAATGAAAGCTCTCTGTATATATATATATTGAATTTAAAAACATTTAAAAAGGTTATTAAAAATAAAATAAAAAATCTAATGGCTAGTTGACATCATCGATGACATCAACGCACCTTTAATATTGGCTGTTGGATTTGCAGTTGCACAAGATGTTTCGTACTCTTGCACATACGTTGTACTTTCTCTTCTTGAAAAGTACATGTGCTGGGCCCACAAAAAAATTTGGCCTAATTGGAGGGCTAAAGAGCCAAATGTGGCAACAACAAAAATTTAGCCCATGGTTGATGAGTTTTGCATTATTGTAGATGGCGTTAAGGTTTCGATTTTCAGACGTACTATAATAAGATTCCAACATCTAATGGTTTTGTTGAATCTCAACCCCATCTAACATCTCTTGTGCTTTTAAATTGTGTGTGGGCCTTCGCAATTGTCTTGCTCAAATTACGAATGAAGCCAATGTGTTTTTAATTTTCTTCTCAGCCATACTTGATGTCACTATTCTATTTTGAGATTTTGTTGCCCTCACAAATTTGACTCTCTTTTTCTACCCAAATGATAAAGTCTGGTCTTTATGGAGAATAAAAGTGATTAAACTGAGATGAGTTGTTGGGTTTTGTGAGAGAAAATAAATTATGTTGTCTGAAGTAAAAATGGAGAAGAATGAAGGAACAAGATTCGCTGTAAAAATGGAGAAGAAGGGAGGCCATGGCGTAGAGAATTGTCTGAATCTAAATTGGAGAAAAAAAGTGAAGGAAAAAAAAGGGTATGTTGTTAAGGTTTTACCCCTCAGAGCATCTCCAATGGAGGAAGCAAATGTTTTCTTTAAAAGTGTCATTTGTTAACCTTTGTGGCACTTTGATACTAACATTTGCTATAGTGTAAAACTTTGTCCCTCCAATCAGGG